AGGACAAATGAGGAATAAAAATCAGTGTGTGGGGATTTCTTCAAGGCAATTAAAAAGAGAACAGCGTTAACATTAGTGAACAAGTCCAGGTTTAGTGGTTATGGCTCAGGAGGTAGTGCAGTTGTTCCCCCAACAGGAAGGTCGGTGATTCGATTCCCGTTCTCCCTACTATACATGTCTCCAGTGTCCCTGGGCAAGACACTGAATGCCAAGTTAATGGCCAGAGGAGCACTTTGCAGGGACAGTGCCACTGTGTGTGTGTGAGTTGGTGCTGCAGATGGCTACCAGAGACACATTCATTGTGTGTGTCACATACTTGGCCAATAAAAGCGATTATCATTTTATGGACTTCCTGTTTGATACTTTTATGTGATACATTTCTGCTGTCTCACACAGTTCTCACCTCTGCCAGCTTCACCTCGCTCATTACACACACCTGTTTCCAATCTGTAATCAAGGGACTCGGTATTTAAGCCAGCTACTCATAGTTGCCAATTTGCTGTCAGACCCTCATCCAGGGCTTCTTGTGCCCACCTGTGTCTCAATCCTGCCTAATGTTTTATGAATCCGTGTTTTGAGCCGTCATGTTGCTCCAATCCTTATCACCAAGAACTTTTCCCTTTTATTGCTTCAGGTTAGTTTTGGTGTTCATGTACAGTGCATGTTCATGTTTTGTAGTGATTCTTGGATTATGTTGTTTAGTTTTGTTCAGCAACACTCAGCTTGGGCGCATTAACATTTATGGTCCAGTTTTTGTTTTGCTTCTGGCTTAGCTCACTTTGCGTGCAGGCCTCAAGACCGCAGCTTTTGCTCATGTTTTGCTGTTTATCCGTTCATGCTGTACTTGTTTAGATCTTGTGTTTTTTGACCTCCGTGCCAGACATTGTTCATGTCTACTGGTTTAATGTTTTCAACTGTTTTTACTAAGGATAAAGATACCGTTGCTGGTTTTTGGCTTTTCTTCTTTTCAGCTTGACTTTTGTTTGCACATGTAGTTACAAAGAACCAGCATTTTTGTTTGAACTTCTGTTTTTGCTGGATGTTGTTGTTGCTACCTGGATTGCCAAATGTACAACAAAAACGTTTTATATTAAAGCCTAAAAAAACTTCACAGATCCTACCTCCTGTACAGTTATTTGTTTTTGGGTACTTCGTCCTAAAACTCAATTTTGTAAGGCTTTAGTTGCGCTGGTGTAAGTTATACCTCAAACTGTCAATTGTAGGTACAACTAGTTAAAACTAAGTCAAACACAACAATTGTGCAATAAATCCTACGTTCATGATATTAATATTCACTTTTGAAACTGTTTCAGAGAGATGTTGATTCAACTGGTGCTGCTGAATCATGTTGCGTTACTCACCGCTGTTTCAATTCTATTCCACTAGAGTTCAGTCAGCCTAACTGAAAAAGTAACATTAATTGCAAGACCATTGTTCTTCCATTCCCTGGCTGTCCAGTCTTTAGTCAGTTCCCACCATTCCCCAGTCACCTGATCCTCACCTGCCAGCACACCTGCCCTAAGGGAGAATGCCCCTAATCAGGGCCTTTGTGTGTGAGTGTATTCCCTGTCCACAGATTGTTCAGTCTCTCTTTGAACCATTGTGCATCAGTCATTGGTTTCTGTTCTGCCTGCCTGCTTGTTTGTAGGTTTTGATCTCTGCTTGCTTGCTCCTGTTTGGACTTGTTACCTTTGTGGTGACTGCCAACTTCTGTTCTGAACATAAACCAAGTAACACACAACATCTAGAACTGTCACAGTAAGTGGATCAAATAACAATCATGGCATATTAAATTTATGAACCCGGTGTAAGGTTTCCAATAACATAATACAGTTCAGTGTAGAAGTCAGTTTCACTTGGTCCCAACAATTTAAAATAAATAAACTGTTTTCTGCAATCACAGGAAGCAATCTTTGGACCTGATTGTGTATTCACTTACACGTCAACCTCAGTTTGAAAACAGGTTTGCCAGGCTGGGATCTAATCCTAACTTGGCCACTTTGACTCAAAATTGGAGTCACTTTATCACAAATTGGGTTATTAAATGTTGCTGAATTAATACTTCATTTAGTACCCAGACAGAGGACAAAATAGGCACCAAGGCAGCTCACGGAACAAAGAACTGGAAAAAAAAGTGCATTGTGTATTGTATTACAGCTTTATACAGAAAGAGGGAAGTCGACAACTTCTTGCTGTGCTGTTTTATGCAATTTTGCTACATGAGTAGGTGGGGTTTTCTCCTGTTCAGAATGATTTCATGTAAATGTTAGCATGCCACAAATGTCAAACCAAGGCAGAGTGATACACCCTGAGCCCATAACATGACTTTTTTTTGTCTAACCACACTGGAATTCCTTAAGCAGACGAATGGCATTGTTACAGTACGTTTCTCCTGGTTACCTCTTTGTTCTCTGACAGCATATTCCCTTTTAGGGGAGTTGGCACCAAGTATTTCTAATAACCATGGAGGTGCACACATGACCATGCTTATTACTGTTACAGTGGAGGGTAGAATTTGTCATATCTCTTGGGTGCAAGAATTACCTTGAAATGAGGATTTGGTGACACACAACTTCAATATGTTCTTTTAATTTCTCGGTTATTACTGAGGTTATATACAGTCATGATGGGCAGTGATGCATTTTTGTACAATGTGAATTGGACTGATGCACATTTCAGACCATGGTTTATGTAAGGCTTTTGTAACATAGTCATTCACTTTCTGTTTTTGTATCATAAGAGAGTTTTATTTTATCAGTACATTGGAAAATGAATATTTTTAGCTATGTTTACCACTCAAAACTTGTTCTGCTTAAGCTTAATGTATGCAGGTCTCAACCCTGAATAATCATTCATGCAGTGGAAAAATGAGAGCAGGACTCCTCAGAGTTAAGCTGCTGTTTCCATGGGGAGGACATGCACACACAGAGTGGAGTTATGGGTTGATCTTAGTATGTTAGTTCGTGAAATATAAGAATATGTAAAACAAGCAAATTCTTTCCTTAGGGTATTACTCTTGTGAATAGCTGCTTAATCATTTCATTTGAATGCCAGGTCTCCATTTTATGTTTCTTCTGCCTTTAATGCTGTTGACCTATTGTTTCATTACTAGAACACATTTCACATTTATTTTATTTCCCCAAGTGATTTCTAATCAGTGTAGTTTTGTAAACATCTAGAAAATATACAGGCCTATAGGGTAACGTAATTTTTCAGCCCTCATTATTCAGCAGGTGGCCATCACATGTGTTTTAATTTCCTTTGAGCTCAGATGGACTTGTTATTTGATGCCAGGACTGAACTAAAAAACAGGTGGTCCGTGATTTAGGAGGTTCAGTGAACATGTTTTCACACCTCCTGAGTCAGCTCCATCAGGTGCGTACTTGATGACATATTGTTAAATTACACACACACACAGATTGACTGCAGACAAAAAAGAGCTGTTAAAGTCTTTTAAATTTCATTCTGAGATGTCTTCCAGCTGTTGGCAGAGATCAAGTGGAAGGCAAAGGGGTCACATTTAGCTCTACTATGAAGAGTAGATATTGCTAACAGTAACTGTTGTTGCCTACAGGCTTCTTGAGTACCACTTTATATTATGGGCAGTGTTGGAAGAACCATAATGTGAAATCACATAATTATAAATTCTGCATTATCAGTGAAATGTACTTTAGGTACACCTGACATCTTTATACACTGTAGCTTACTATTGGATAATTACTGCTGCCTGAACTTCTAAGCAACATATAAATGTTAAAAATGACACCTAAGTTTAATAAGCTGCATCAAAGCCAGGATGTGCTATTCCTTGAAATGGATAGGAACTCATTTCTATCAGGACTGGGAGAAAAATCTTGCACATTGTAATTGTGTATTGTATATTCGTTAATTAATAAATAATACATTTGTTAAAATTAGCATTTTGAACTTTTTTCAGTGTTGAATCCAGTTGTAATCATTTTGAGGATGCTGCTATGACATTATAAACTAATTCAAATTTGTAAATCCTTCACCACTGAAGCACATCAGTGGTGAAGTATCCATCTTGTAACCCTGTCTTGAAGAGAGGGAGTACATAAAAACCTAGTTTTAAGTTCGTGTTTTGATTAAAATTATGCATCTGCAAACAACATTATTTTCTTTATTAACCAATTGTTCAGTGTATAAAAATAGTGATGCTGTAGACAACATTTTAACATATTCAAATAGTGTGTTTTGTCTGACAGCTGGTCCAAATCCCAAAGACAGTTTCATAGGAAACAATGGCAACATCCAAATATTCACATTTGAGAAGCTTTAACTTTATTTTTTAAGCAAAAATGACAGCTTATCAAAATTGTTGTCAGTTATTTCTAAATCAGCTCCTCAATTAGTCGCCTAATTGCTTCAGCTCTTCTGGGTGCCTGGGGAAATACATTTCATGTATTTCAGGGTCAGTAGGAGCTTAATCTGCCCATGATTAGTGTTGTTTCTAATCATTTGTCCACGCTCTAAACAGCAAAACAAGGAACCCCTTCAAATGGAGCTTTTGGAGATACTTATGATGAACTAACCTCATTTTATAGGGAGCAAAACTATTAAAAACACCAAAGATAACTTAGTTCAGTACTAGACCCCACCAAGGTTTCAAAAGTAGCACATTTCTACTACTTCAGGGAGGCCTATTTAATAGTTTGATAATATCACAGGAATGTTGAGTTGGACTGCAGCTCTAGTTTTAAATGCGCCCACTTGTACAGCCAGTTTCTCCAATGACTTATTGAACCGTCTGCGCAACATTTGGTTATTTGAATTAACGTATTTCGTATTTCCTTGTTTCAGTGAGTCTTTAACAGCCTGGTTCTGTTGGTGGCTTGGTCCACACTGAATGCAGCCTTTTGTGTGTGCGTGTAGGTGTGTGTGTGTGTGTGTGTGTGTGTGTGTGTCGGAGGGGCTGTAATTTGAGAGTAACATAGAGGTATTAGCGAAAAACCCAAGCGCGGCACTTGAGACTTCCAGATGTGGCGTTTGAGGCACCCAGTAAAGTCGGGAGTACAACAGTTGTCCACGCTGAAACACATTTTCACACTCTTCTTGTCTGTTCACCGCCAACAGTGATGGAAGCTGGCAGGCTCGATTAAAGGAAAAAACAGAGGCACAAACTTTTTGTTGGGACCATATATTAGTGTTGAGGAGGACGTGAAAGCTACAACTAAACCCCAACTAACTGCGCACTTTGGACATTTACACCTGGGTGAAATGTATGCTTTTCTACGCCGGACTGAAACTGAGTAATCTCTCTAGCAGTCGTGTGACCTGAAATAAACTAATATCACCTATTTGTGAGCGTGTTGGGACAAGTGAGCACCATGGCTTTTCTTCACTTGCTCCTGAGCGCAGGGATGTTATCGCTGCCGATGTGTGGAGCTGTATACCGCGGACCTTTACATCCGGAGATGTCTAACGGCACTTTCCATCATTATTTCGTGCCGGACGGAGACTACGAGGAAAACGACGACCCAGAGAAGTGCCAGATGCTTTTCAAAATGACCGACGATCGAAAGTGCGGTATCGACGAGGACCAGGACGCCGTCATACGGGACGATTTCACCATCATCAAGAGGCAGATCGAGGACTCGTCCCGGGTGCTCGAGGGAATCGGGAAAAGCATCTCGTACGACCTGGACGGAGAGGACAGCTACGGGAAGTATTTGCGGAGGGAAACCGTTCAGATAAGCGAGGCGTTTACAAACTCGGAGAAATCTCTGTTGGAGCTGGAGGTAAAATTCAGGCAGAGTCAGGAGGGTGAGCTGAGGGAGGAGCACCGGCTCAGCGACGACTACCTGAGCATGATAGTGCACACACGGGACGTCCTGAAGGAGACACTGGACATTTCTCTGGGACTGAAGGACAAACACGAGCTGCTGTCTCTGATCATCCGCAGCCACGGTACGAGACTGAGCAGATTGAAGAACGAGTACATGAAGTACTGAAAGAAAAGAGCTCATACATGTCTCATTACAGTACTACCTATTTAGTATTTCTTAATGATTTCTTTAAAGTTTCCTGGAAAGAACCGTGTAGCTTTGTAGGCTACTACTGATTACAGGAAAAATAAAGATAATGTTCTGAGACTGATATTTGTGTTAGAATTAGTTGTGTTGTGCTTATTATTGATTTCAAGATGAATTTATCACAAGAAACTGCTCCATTAAAATTCCATATTTATTACTTGTTAATTTATAATTGAAAACTTTAGCCCATTTCTCATATGTTGTATGGTTTGTTTGCCTATAAACACATTTCACATTTTTACTCACTTGATGTCCTCTGAATAAAAGTATCAACGTTTTTCTATCTAAGCATAGGCTATAGGAATAATTGGAATCATTCAACTTCTAACACTCGAATTAATACGGGACCTGCTTCTTTCCAGGAAACTTCTTAGGAGATCATTTGGAAATAAATTTGGAATTTAGTAAAATACAGCCTTGACCTTTTTTTATGACGAGTATGCAGAGGTGACAATTTATATCAGGGATAGAAAACCAAAGCTTAAATGGTCAATTCACCTGAATGCAACAAACAGAAATTAAAAAGAGCCAGTACTTAGTTAACCCCCAGCCACCCTTTGCCCACTGTTAAATATGGGGTGGAAATAATATTCTTTGGGGTTATGTGGCTGCCTGTGACAAAGGAAACATAACACGGAGCGGAGAACAATGGATTCTACCAATATATTAGTGAATTGTGGATGCGAGTGTCATGCAGTTAGTCAAGAAAGTGAAACTGAAAAGAGGCTGGCTTCTAGAGCAGGACAATGATCCTAGGTATACCTCAAAATAAACCATGAACTACTTCAGGAAAGAGAAGCTGGCTAAAGTTTTTGGAACAACCCTCGCATTTTCTGATGTGAACATCACTGAAAATATGTGGGTAGATCTTAAACTTGCTTGTGCAGGACAGCCCAAAAGTTTCTCAGAAAGACTTTTACCTGGCTTCAAAAAGTGTATGCAAGTTGTGATATCTGCCAAAGAGGGATTTCTAAGTACTGACTTAGTAGGGTTCCCAACTTTTTACATGCCACAGTTACTGTTTATTTATTTGTCTTCAGTTTGGAGTGGAACCGCAAATACTGGCCATGTAAGTAAATTCAAAACAATCTTCACTGTTAACTAGGTGATAAGTTTTTCAGTGGTAGATAGGAAAATATGCTTTATTCACTTTTGGCAAACTGACCCTTTAAAGACTGAGTTGTATATGACTTTAACTGCACATTGATGGTAGGTATGTTTATATCATCTGATATGTGTGTATGTGATATTGCCTAACACTAGACACTAAAGCATCCCTCTTGTCCTAATATACTGTATGTCAGGGCAGTGCATTAAATGTAACTGTATTGTAACAGACACAGGTTTGTGCGTGCACTTTGAACATAGGTGGGTCAATCCAAACAGTGAGAAATATCAACACATAAGCACTGTAGTCTCATGTCTGGCTAAGGGTTTTCCAAAATCCATTCAATCCTTTGTGACCATAAACTGGAGTGAGCTTCAACAGATTCACCTGAGGACTGAGTAAAATTTCAGACTCACCGAGCAGCGTATGTATCACTGTCTGCATTCACCAGAGAATACTATGCATATAGTTCAGTGCTGAACCCAAAAGTTGAACAAATTAGTTTCGGAAAATTCTTCATAAAACAGCGAAGCTGTTGACACTGTGGGCTTAATGTAGCAGCCTGGCTTAACGCTCCTCATATGAACAGCTCCTTTCACTGCTCTCCTCTGACACTACAGATGAATGCTTCTAAGAATCAAAAAATGTTTATATATGGCCACCTATCTGTTGTATTTTTGGCATTATAGGCTAGCAAACTTTGCACAGTTCTTTACCACTCTGATGCTAAAGGTTGTGACATTGTTTAAATCGCGAGGCCTTCACTGTGCTGTGCTGCACAGGCAGTAATCCTGTAAAATGTACAGTGAATTATTAGAAGTAAGTAAATACTGTGAGTGCCAATATCTATATTACAGAATATGTTATTATGTATTCATTGTGTTTATAAAGTGTTGAAACAGAGCAGCCTATATTCTTTTTTTAGCTTTAAGATTTGTGGTGAGATGTAATACATTGACAGATAAGACTGCAGGCAGCACTCGAGAACTTCGGTGTTAAACACTAACGTGTGTGTGACAACATTCTTAACGGATTGTGTTGTGTTTTCTCAAATAAAGAGTTTGTCTTCAAAGTACCATGTTGTTGCAAGAGCATATTGTGAGGGCAGAAATGGGGTGCTCCTTAGAAAATGTTATGATTTGTAGGAGTTGCAAAGGAGAATGAAAAAATTCACCCTTTCCACTGTTTCTGCTAGGGATCGCCCCATGGAGCTGCATCCAGGAGGTTCTTGGACTTTGTGATATTTAGCAAACCCCTAATCACTGGTACTATATACTGTATTGTCATGTGCTTCAAAGCTGCACAACACTGCTTTACAAGGTTTTGACTTTGAAATCTATTGTGAGTTACACAGATACTAACAGAGATGTTAGGTAATATGTTGATGGTAGTTCGAGTTTTTTTTAGTGCTGTGGTAGGCCTCACAAATAGTAAAGTTGTTTCCTGTGTTTTGCACAGTCACTACTGGTTATATAATATCTGTAGATAAGCTGAGCCCAGTGAGTACACTCATGAAGATAAAGTAACCTTCAGCCTAGACTGTATGTTTCCATTAGAAGTAAAGCCCCCGGTTTTCCTGTTTAAGTAAAGAGATTATTGGCATCATAGTGAGGAAAACCCATATATAATCTGTAAAACTCATGAAAGTTCAGCTTAACCTATCATCCTTAGTGGAAATATGTTGTTCTGCAATGTATTTCAAATTGCATTTTACTTTGTGATATTACTTGTGTTGCATTATGTCAGCACCATTGATGTTATGTCAACCTTTGCTTTATTTAGGTAGATCATTTACAGTTTACAGAATGAATGGCATATTGGGCACAGGCCCAGGGTCCCAGGGGATCAGCAGACCCCGGCACCAGAGCCTCTGTCTTTATTACAGCCTCTATGTCTTCCTTGGCCAGCTCAATGTACTGGCAGGGTATCTGATGACTGGCAAGGTGAACATGATGACGGCTTGGATCTTGTTCTTAAAATTATTTTACTATTAATGCAAATGTTTTAACCCCAACCGTCTTCTTCAAGGCCTTGACTGAAGTGCAAAGGCTATTTTTAAACAGACATTCACAGGTCGCAGGTGATGTATCTGAATCTTGACCTTTACTGATCCCCTGATTTTTCCAACACAGAGTACAGCTGTTGAGGAATTATAAGGAAATCTGGTACACTCGCATCTGAATAGTTGCAAGGCTGGAGTTCATACCTCTAAACTAAAATGGTGAACGTAATATAGGCTAAATTTACCCACTGAACATGCATTATGAAGCTGACATTTAACCCCCACTGTGCTTATGTCACAGAGCTTTAGATTAGAGGCTGTAACCTACCCTTTTATACTTTATTGTTGTTAAATTATCAATATCCTATTAGAGGGACCCAAGATACACTTGTTTGTTGACTCCAAGCAGCCACTGTCCCCTCAATTGTTTCAACACAGCAATTAACAAGGAGAAATGCTCCTGCTTCCTAGATTTCCTAATCTGTAGTGTTGGGCTACTGTGCTGTTTTTTTTTTTACTACTATTGTATAGTTTTATCACAGTTGTTGACGCATCCTGTTGGCTCATAACTCTATTATCAATCGGGGCTGGAAACCAGCACTGTAAACACACTTGCAGCCATTATGTCATCCAGCGTCACCCTCAACCTTTCACCTACTTCCCCGTTCTCAGACTCACTGACAGCCGCGAGACAACACCGGCATTTGAGCTGACGGAGGCGACGTCTGTGTTGAAGAGGAACTGTCGTCAGAATATTACAGGTAACGTTTGGTACTGGCAAACCCCGTTATTTTGACAACTTTTGATAAAAGTTTAATAAGTAACTTTTAAAGCAAGGTCCCAGGTACGAGAGAAGGTGGACCGGGATTCACGGAAATGAGGATGTTCCTTGCTAGAGCTGGGGTTGTGTTGGTTAAGTAGCTAGCCAGCAACATGTCGGGTTAGCTCCTTATTAAAAGCAAAAGACTACCGGATAAACTCGCTTCGCAGATAAGCTGTCTTGGACCTAAGTAACACAACACTACGCAAAGCAACGCGGTGTAGTTGTAATCTTTCTACTGTAGTTTGTCTGTGCACCCGCTGATGGTGATGTCACACTGGGCAGGTTGACAAGCGATTAGCAAAACCCCAGATGCACTTAGCCAAAATTACACGACCGCATCAGAGTTTCAACTTCGATGTTGAAGGCATTCACATACAATTCATGTCCAATTGTGAACTCATCCACAGTAAACAATAAATAAACAAAAAGCCTTTTCCTTAAGTGCTCTGTATACATGTTCAGTAGAATATGCACTTCTTCTGACAGCTTTATCTTAATTGTCGGTTTTGTTCAGCAGTTTCTGGAGCATGTGCTGTGCAGGAACATATGGGCAGCATCAAAACAAACTGTACACAGGCTGCTTAGCTTAATGTTTCTTGAGAGCTGCCATGATGGCGTTGTGCAGGAGGTTGTGACAAGGCATTTGCTTGACAAAGATGTTGTATCACTTTTTGCACAGCACCCTATGAGGTGTGCAGAGTGTTTAGCCTTTATAACAAAGAGATACCAGATTGTGCTTCAAGCTGTTTTCCTAAATCATGAATGTTTTGGACAGGTTGAACAAAACAATGACATCACTTTGGAGTCATAGTTTATAGTATAATCAGCGAATTATACTATCTTTTTACCATTGGCTCATGATACAGCTGTGGTTAAAAAAAAAGTACACCCTATAGTTCATTAACATGTAGAACCACCCTTAGCAACAATGACGTGAAGTAAACATTTTCTGTAGGAGTTAATCAGTCTCTCGCATCGTTTTGGAGAACTGTTGGCTATGTCTACAACATTTCTTCAGTTCGTTGATGATTGAAGGCAATCATTTATTCACAGCATCTCAGTGAGGTTGAGGTCTGGACTTTGACTTGGCCATTCCAGTACCTTGATTTTTTTTTTTCTTTGTAGCCATTCAGATGTCAATTTGCTGGTGTGCTTGACATCATTGCCCTGTTCCATGACCCAGTATTGGCCAAGCTGCTGGAGAGATGGCCTCACATTTGTCTCAAGAATATTCTAGTATAAAGTGGAGTCTTTGTTGTCTCAATGACTGCAAGTTTTCCAGGTCCTGTGGCATCAAAACAAGGCCAAATCATCACCCCTCCACCACCATGCTTGGTGATTTGCATGAGGTGTTTATGGTTTTTGCCAAACACGGCACTGTGCAGGATGACCAGACACCTCCACTTTGGTCACATCTGTCCAAAGGATATTGTTCCAGAACATTTGTGGTTTGTTCAGACACAGTGTTGCAAGCCTGAGTCTTGCTGCTGTATTCTTTTTGGAGAGGAGAGGCATTTTCCTAGACACCTTTTTCTGAAAGCCATACTTGTTCAGTCTTTATATAATTGTGATGTCATGAACATTAGCATTTAATGTCCTTACTGCTGAAAGTTCTGCTTTAATAATAATACTCACATCTTAGTGATCGGCTAATCCTGTGCATTTGATTAGTAGCACTTGGCTGCTGATTACTCTCTTAATGATTGTGGAAGTAGGAAGGATGTGCTTTTGTTTTCCCACCTGGTTTCTGAATGTTGGTTTACTTTTGGCTAACAGTGACTACAGATTGAAATCTATTTTGTTTTTTGTCGCCTGAGGTTATTTATTTGTTTACAGGTGCTGAGGACCACAGAATTGTTTTTCAGGCCCCAATGACTAAAAACAAAGAATTGAAGGAGGGTGGACTTTCTTTTTACCATGACTGTATACTCAGTGTCATTCTGGATTCAGACAATTTATTTGTCAAAAAATATTTGAAATTGATCAAACTCCTGATGTTGGTAATTCGATAAATTCTTTTGTTTCTTTGTTTCTTTCTTTCTTTTAAAATCTAGCCGTAGATTTTAAGCACATCAAATGAAAGACAGACGTGCATGATTTTCTGTCTTATTCACTTTATTGCTTCCTTTTCTCATTAATTATAGAGCCTTTCAGACATGTGGATGAGTACATTTGCGTGCTTCGCCCTGAAGAGGAGCACTTCTTCCATGGCCTGTCAGGCTCTGAGGGCTTGTCGTAAACCAGGGCTACTCCCTTCTTGTCTGACTTCAGTGCAGTTTTGTGGGCAGCATACACTGGGGTCAGCCTCCGTCCCTGTGGCTCGCCACTCTGTGAGACACGTCCGGGCTCTGGATGAGGAGAGGCTGATGGAAGTGGAGTGGGAGGATGGACGCCACAGCCTGTATCCCTTTACCTGGCTGAGAGACAACTGCCAGTGTCCCATGTGTACCCTGCATTCGGCTCAGGCCCGGAAATTGTTGATGTCTGATGTTGATATCCACACAGGAGTTGATGTTGTGGAGGTCACCAGTGACAACAAGGTAGGTGCTGCCACTATCTGACATGGTTTGTACTATCTGGTTTGTACACAGAGCATGGCTGTTCTGCATTAGGAGAGCAAAATGAATATTTATTACCCAAACTGGATATGCTAATGTCTAAAACAATTTACAGAGGCTACAGGTACATACTAGGTCAGCGTTAACTTCCACCACACAGTTTTACAATTCCATGGGGTGGAATTAATGGACACTTTCACTGCTATTTTCACTTTTTAATGAGTGGATAGGTTGGAAAACGGGGCTAATCTTGGCATTTGTTAAAAAACTAAAATCTGGCAGCTGTTAAAATATTACCGGGCATTTTTTAAATCATCATGTGTTAATGGAACTTGTAGTCTACTTGGGTATCATGAAACCCATCCCAGGATACAGTATATGCTTTGCTGACTATGTGAAGGCAGCTGCCTGGTGATAAATTTTGAGATTCTGTGAAGTCAGCCAGTCTAATTTTGGCAGTGCACCTTCTGTCTGACCTTTAAGTCCTCCAGAGGAACCACCGTTGTGAGCTGCGTCCTTTAGAGGATTCTGCCCCTGAGATGTTACCGAGATATAAATAGACTGGTTTGACATGACAGTGCTGCCAAGCTAGCCTTCTGAGATGTGTTAGATAGCCTAAAAATCTGTATTTTAAGTACCACAGCAGTGGTTTCACACTTTCCTCTCGGTATATGAAAAATAAAATGTTGATTAGAAGGTGGCATTGACCTAAAGCCCCCTAATGTATTAAAAAATGCAGATGGTCAACATAAAAAAATCTTCATTTGAAAAGGAAAAAAACATGATTTTTTAAAAATGTTTTTGTCTCAGTTTTTTCAACCAAGAGCACATTAAAAGCTTAACCTTGAAGTGGCAGACCAGTCTTCCTCCTATGAATAAGAAAAATCCTGAAAATCAAAATGATATTATTTAAAAAACAGAATAGCCAGTAAAATTCTGACCATGTCATTGCCAGCTAATAAAGAAGATTGTCACTTCCTTTTTTACTTGAGAGAGAGACAGAGCGCGTTCAGTTGATGGCTTATCACAGCAAAATATTAAGAGGTGGAAAAACAACTTTGGTCAGCTGGGTCACTGTGTCTCTCCACAGGTGTCCATTGTGTGGCCCAACCAGCACACCAGTGTGTTTGATGCAGACTGGCTGAAGAAACGCTGCTTCTCACCTGCTGCCAGACAAGCAGTGCGAGAAGAGCTTTTCCTCAACAGTGAGTACTTTGTACTTTTCATAAAAATTTTAAAAAGAGCTGCAGGCAACAGGCTCTTACTGTTGTTTGTGACTAGCACACCTCTGCCACATCCTCAAGGTGAGCAGCATTACCTTGCTATCTGGGGCAAAGAAAAAAACATTCACACCTTACCAGCATGGCTCAGCTATTTGTGGCTGTACATGTTCATGGCTGAGCTTGACTGCCTCCTCTTATGGAGAAGTCCTGTATGAGATGTAAGTGGTCTACAGAAATACATTTAGTTGCCCATTTATTAGGTACATCTTGATAAAATGAATGAAGTCTAATACAACAGACCTGAAGTAAGTCCTATTTTATAGGATGTAAGGTTGATTTTCTGTTACTGTTGGTAACTGGTACTGTTTCTGGTTCTGTTGGAGAGGTGTTGATTAACTGTGCAGCCATTTTGGAAGATGTAGCTTGTGGTGCTGTTGAATGGTGCCGTGTTATTCTGACTGGTATTTATATTACAGATAAACCAATATGAATCCGAAAATCAATACAGGAGTGAGATTTACAGCTGCATCGGTTGAAAACCACAGATTCCAACCTAACGCATTTGAAAAACTGTAAAATTGATATGGATATTATAAACTGATCTTTGGCAAGTTTTCTGTTACTTCTTGCTGTGCTAAAAAGTGAACTGAACTAATAGAATGAACAAACACTGTCACGATTTACTACATTCTCAAAGTTTTAACTGAGAACAGCAATTTGTTTGCCTGCCAAACCACCAGTGTTAACTGCTTGAACAGTACATAGTCTAAATAGTGAACTACGAGGCCCGATGAAGCTTGTCATGGATAACACCTTTCATACTGTGATCACTTGCCGTTATGAATGTCATATTTTAGATTTTATACGCACCTTTGCCATTATCATCAAAGTCCCCAAGTATATACTCCTGTTATGGTCCAAAGTCACAAAAGAGCTGTGTCACATTTAACCTACCTATTTAGATTCTCAAGAACCTGACAGATCTCACAATTTATTTTTCAGTGCAGAAATTTAATGAAACAGTCTGTGAGATTTAGTTTTTATCAAAAACATCAATATAGTAACACACTGCCTATAATCAACTGGAAGCTAAAAGATGATCTAATTTTCATATTTTCACCAAATGTAACCACATTGGAAAGGGACTGTGTGCCTATCTGCCTAACATTTAATATCTGTTTTGAAGTTGTTATAAGTTCAATATTTTTTGCTTTAGCAGTGTTACAGATGCTCAGCTAAAATGAATTTCATCTTGACATTAATGTAAAATGACAAAGTGTAGTTTGTGCTTTTTTTCTGGATTGTTTTGTGTCTTTTCTTTGTGCATCCTATCTCTTAACTGATATGCTATGGTAGTTTTACAAATGCAGTGCATACACATAGATTCTGCTGACAAAAGTAAGCCTTACCTGTAACCCCTAATTTCCACCAGAACCAGCTGCGTTGCCTTCCATCTGCGACACGATCGCTGGAGCTGATCGCTGCCAGTCTAGTCAATGGTTGTGTTCCCACTGCGTCCAGCTGTGTTCCATCCGATCATCTCTGTCCTCCGATCCGTCCCAAATGCGGCTCTCTGGTCCGCTTCGCCAAAGATACTGAGATACTGAGTCTATTTTTGACAGATGCCACATGTGGGACACATCTGACAAAGCTGACCCACCAGTCAAACAACACTTTCCCCGCAAGGTATCTATGTGAATCACAAGCTATGAAATGATTAGCCTGTGAGGATGAATGTATTGTTAACAACTAAAACATTGCCACAAATCTTTGATCCATGTTTCGACTTAACTGTAACTGTTAAATTTAACCTTTAACTGTAGTTTTTGTTTGTAGGCTACAGCACAAGTAGGAAATGAGCACATTAAAATAATTAAAACAGATAAAAACAATTTACAAAGCCTGGTTATACTGTAGAAGCTCGAAAACCAAAAAATATAATCTACCGGTACACATAAAATCAGCACCACACCAAGCTACTCTGCAGCTGCACCTGGTTGGGGATGAAGCCCGACAGAGGACGGATCAGAACCGGGTCACAGACGGAATGCAACGCAGCTGGATCTGGTGGAAATTGCCTGAATTAGTTGTGTTGAGCATTTAATTGTAAAAAAGCTTAAGCAACTTAAAAAATACATATATTCTGGTTTGAAATATAATGGGTAAACATTTGGCATGTGGCAGTGACGGGAGATGAGTGGTTGCAGGTAAAATTCTTGTTCATGTCCATTATGTAATTAAACAGCAGCTCTCTGACGTGTGTGTAGCTGTTATTGTAAGTGAAAATGAGTGTACTTAGACTGCTGACTCTCTTTGCGGGAAAAAAGATGGCCCTGATTTAAACTCTTCTCCACACATTTTTTTTTCTCAGCACCAAAACCAGGTTGTTAAGGAAGGAGACTTTTCTAACGACTGGAAAGAGAACTCATTTTACAGTACATTTACAATGGCCCAGTCTGCCAGAGAGCAGAGGAGAAAGTTCAGCTGTGGCACAAGGTAGCAGCACTTCAGTGGAGGGGCAGATGAACTGTAGTCGTTTTGTGTACACAGACATGGTCCTGTAGGACCCACAGGGCTGAGTGGTTCCTGCGCTGTTCCAGGCTGATTAATGTTACATGTGTATGTTTCCATGTAAATTTAAACAGATCCCCCTCATAGCAATTTACAGACCGTCATTATGTAGTGTAGATCTTTTTCAGCCACATTAGCTCAGAGCCAGAAGCAGTCCTGGAAGGCACCGCTAAGCTCATACACCAAAACATGATACAGGATGATGTGTTGTGCACACACATACAGTCTCTCTGGGTTTAATTATGTCCTCCTGAGCGCCAGCTTGAAATTCTTTGCTCCGAACAATGCTGGAAAGGTCTGCATTCTCAAAAGATGGATGATGAGCAGCGTTCGCCCCCGGTTTTTTATTTCTCCATGACGTTACTTCACTTAAGCATAGTCCACAGTTTGGATTTCTGTTTCCTTTTTTTATGCAGTCATCCTAGATTTTACAGGCCCAAATCTGTCTGTTAAAGTGTTCTCAACACTGATGTTTAGCACACTCAGGACACTGTGAGGTCAGTATGATAATTGGAGTTTTGGGGATAATATTCAGCCTGTACTATACCTCGTGTTTTTATGTTTAAAGTAATGTTTTTTTCTTCTGCTTATACCGTTTCTATGGAGTTGTGCAAGTGAAACCGCAGTATGTAGTTCAGCTGTTACTGGAGCAAAACATGGAACTAGTAATATTCAAGGGTACAGATGTTTAGGTCAACTTTAGGATGCTGTTAATTAGTGGCCAAAAAAGCTGTTTTCCATCATTCTCAGACAGTAAATATTACTTTTAAATTAATTTTCACACATCATCAACAGTTCATTCAGTTCCTCAGCCAGGTGTTTTTTTTTTCTTGCTGTATGTATTGGATGCATATGTGATTTTTCAGCATCTCTACTTTATTGTTTTTGCACATTTACTCCAGACAAAGTGAACAGAAGTGCAGAATGTCTGCATGTAGAAATGTGGAAGTTTCATTCAGAGACCTTCCTGCCTCAGCCGTATGGAAAACTGATTTAGTGAAAAGCTCACCATGTTCTAACCAACTTTCCGTGGGAACAAAGAAATCCCTGAACCTGAGGTATGTGTAACCAGGAACTGCCTGGTGTGTGAGCACGAGAAGTTCTTGCAGACATTTTTACTAACTCTTTCATACCCCAATATACAGTTGTTATTGTCTGGACACTATCTTTTGGTTTTTGACCAACTTTTATGGTTAGCCTTTTTTTATGTTACCACCTTTGCATGTGTTTGCAACACATTTGGTAGCTTCGTTGTCTTTTTACATATTTTTTATTGGAAACCATTTGAGTACCTCAGCTTTGTGCTGTCTTTGATTAATATTGCTAGAAATTTTATTCTCAAAACACCTTTTAGCCAAGGTAGCAGCGTAGCTCAAGGGACTGCAGTGTGTGTTCAGTCAGTCCACTGCTTCAGTGCAGACTCAAATGTCCCAAAGGCTATTGGATAGATTGCCTCGAAAGTTTGTATAGACATTCGTGGTACCCAGAGAATAAATCTCACAGACTTAGCCGATCCTCTGACTTTTTCTCTAGCACCGGGATGAGGTTGACATTTGTGGTTTTTACTACAATCCTTGCCAACTAATGGATGGAAAGCCATGAAATTAGATTCAGACATGCAGGATAAATACCATCCGGCCAGCAGGTCAAAATGTTTATATATCCAGTGAAATATCTCAACATAACAATAACATGAATTGGCACAAATTTTGTACAGACATAGTCCTCAGAGGATGATTCCTAATGACTTTTATGATCCCCCTGAGTTTTCCTCAAAATGAAGCCACAGGTTATTTGAGGTTCTGAGTGAAATGACCCAACATCGAATTGCAGTGCAATTAACTTCCACGATCTTTGTGACTTAGTCAAATATTAAAGTAGCCAACAGCCACTTGACATACATGTGACAACATGTATGTGTTTTTATCAAACACCTTCAACTCTGTCTTCATCAGTACAAATATATACATCTTCTTCATGAATGTGTTTTTTGTAGTTTACATGTGCTATTTTTTGCTGACATGCACACTTTTTCACACCACCTGATGGACCTTATGTCACTCAACATCCTTATCTGTAGTTACTCTTCCTTTCCCTGTAAAATGTGTCAGTTTGTGATTTGCCCAAATGCCTGACAGATGCTTTTTAAATTTGAACCATATCATCATGTTAGGCCTGCCATTTTGTGCTTGTCATGTTTATTTAGTCGGGGCGGGAATCACAACTAATTTCATGTCACTGGTATTTAAAAGCCTGATGTGAAACAGGTTAAATGGATATTTCAAAGTGTAAAAATATGCCCAAAAACATGGCTCATAGATTTTTTTAAATATTTATCCACTGCCTGATTTGGTATTTTGCAAATGTAGTCAGTCATCTTTCTAGGATGCCTTTAAAACCGTGCTCTAATT